AATAAAAACAATTTGATTTAGATTGTAGAGGTACACCATATGCATGTTTTCATAGATAACATTTAATTTCATTAGAGTATCCCCAGTAATAAATATGTGCATACCTTATTATGTGGATTCACGTATCTTTTTTGGCTTTATTACTTAGGCTTGCTTGTATGAATGCAACTCAGAGTAAGATCTTCTGGAGAGGCTATAAATATTTTCAATATATAACTAAATTCCCATAACTGTTGCTAGCAAGGTAGCTCTGGGGACCAGGTTGAAAATGTTGTTGTTCTTTAATGCTGTTCACAAGCATTCTATTTTTAACGGAGCCATGGTAGCATAGTCAATTGCAGTATTTCAGGCTAACTAATGCCCACTGCCAGGACTTTGATCCTAATTGGTTCAAGGTTGACTCAGCCTTCCATCCTTCCAAGGTTGGTAAAATGAGGACACAGATTGTTGGGGGCAATATGCTGACTCTGTAAACTGTTTACAGAAAGCTGCAAAGCACTATGAAGCGCTATTTAAATCTAAGTGCTATTGCTATCTGTGCTTTCCCATTAAGGCCCATAGTGGATTAACCCTCTGATTAAAAGACATTCTACATCTGTACCTCTGCCAAGCTAGAATTGCCGGCCTCAGGGAATGCTGTATTCCAAGGTGGGGTTTACAACTATGGCAACATTAAGCCTGGCAGACTTCAACTCCCAGAATTCCCTAGCAAACTGGCTGGGGAATTCTGGGAGTTGAAGTTCTTCAGGCTTAAATTTGCCAAGATTGGAGATCCCTGTTCCAAGCAGAGGTGGGTTGCTACTGGTTCGGGCAAACTGATAGTGGTATTTTGGTCTGGGTCGCAGAACTGGTAGCGACCCAGGCTGGCCATGCCCCTAAACTGGTTTCCTGGTCTCTTTTGCAATTACCAGCAAGGTTTTTATTAGTTTTTAATGGTCCTTGAGCATGCACAGAACAATTTACATAGAACAGTGCAGGTGGCAGCAACCCATCCCTGGTTCCAAGGCATAAATGGCCATTGATGTTACCTGTGCTGGTTTCAGAACTAAAGTATTGCCAGCAGCCAAACACGCTGCACTCTTCCATGCCAGCATCATCAGGGGATAATTCCATGGAATAACAATAGCACAGACTCTTCAGATTCCAGGGAGAAGAAGAAGAAAAAACACAAAAGCAAATTTGAATTTCAAAACGCAAGAGAAGCATTTTATGAGTAAAATTAATCGGAGTCTGGTTTCATTAACAAAGACAACGGATCTTACCCTAAGGGTTCTTTTCTGGTGAACGTTAAATTGTGGTTTGGTCGTGCTTGGTTTATTGGAATGGTAGAACCCTAAATGAAAAAACACTTATCCTTTTTTTTTAAATGACAGTCATGACGAAAGCGGCATCAATTGTATCATCACATGTGTCTGAATAACCTGTTGGCAGTTACAGAATGTCTCCTAAAACATCCCAAATGATGATAAATATACATGATAAATATACTGGAAGTGAGGAAGCTACATGGACATTTTCTACTATGGTATTATCTGTATTTCTTCAGGGCTGAGGGTGCTTCCACTGATAACCCTGTATATGAATCGGTTTAAAATCAGTGTTCTTTTTCTTGAACAAAAATTGTCTTACCAGAACTGCTATTTTTATTTTAAAAAGCAATGCAGGTAATCTTCGACTTACGACCACAATTGAGCCCAAAATTTCTGTTGCTAAGCAAGACGGTTGTTAAGTGAGTTTTGCCCCATTGTACCATCTTACTTGCCACAGTGGTTAAGTGAATTAAGTGAAGTTGTTAAATTGGTAACACAGTTAAGGGGATCTGGCCTCCCCATTGACTCTGTTTGTCAGAAGGTCACAATTGGGGATCACATCACCCCGGGACACTGCAGCCGTCATAAATATGAACCCGTGGCCAAACACCTGATTTTTTTTAATCATGTGACCATGGAGATGCTGCAAATGTGTTGAGTGTGGAAAAACGGCACTTGTTTCAGTGACGCTGTAACTTCGAACGTTCACTAAATGAACGGTCGTAAGTCGAGAACTACCTGTAATTATTTCACACAGAACTGCTTACATAAGACAGGAGTTGGTAAACTATAAATCAGGCTTGCATTTGGCCTTTAGTTCTCATTTTGTGATCCCCCCCAAAACCCACTCTGACCATTACTACTGAAAACTGAGGATATACTGTAGTTTTCCACCTTTAAGCAGTTTTTTAAAACGTGCACTTCATAAATCTTCTCCCTGGATTGCAGAAACTAGCCCAAAAGCAAAGAGCATTCGAGATTTCAGCCCTGTCCAGAAGTGTGATACACCACTTTGGAGAATTACCCATGACCCCATTAAGTGAAGTGCTTGCTATCATAAAGTTGCTCAATCTTAACACAAGGATAGGGCCTGGTTTCTCAGACATGAATTCATATTTCTGTGCGATTAGCAACATTTTTGACTGCCTAATTCACAAAAGTGTGGACTTCAGCTATTGCTCGACCCCTTCCAGCCCTCGTTTGAGTTGCTTAGAAACTTTGCTATTGTTCCAGGTTGGGCTGCCTTTATCTTTAGCAAGAATTGAGGTCTGACCCACATAATAATTCTGGAAGAGAATTAGTCTTTGAGGAAGGCAAACCTTAAGAAGTCCATTTTTACTTTTCTCTGCCACTAATTCTTTGAAACCATTGAATTGTCTAAATAATGTCACATATAATACCGAAGACTTGACATCAACTCAAATATTAGCTTGCCTGTATTTTGTCACACCATCCAGCGAAATATCGGAATGTTTGCACTGACATTCCTACATGAGTCTTCAAAGCCAATGTGTACACAGCTCCTGAGTCAATAGCTTCTATGGTTGCCAGCTCTTCTTGGTGTTCTTCCATCAGATCCGCAAGTCTTTCAATAGAGTCACACAGACAGTAGAACAAAAACACAACATGACACGCTTGTAAGTGGCACGGTTGGAATTCGTGCTGAAAGTTGCTACTCTGGAAAGTAAGTTCACCAAATTTAAATCACATGGAAATTGTGCGTCATTTGAAGATCAGGGCATTTTTTCGGCAATAATTTTGGAAAATATTTTATGTCTGCTTTGTACGTTACATTAGGTCATGATGAGGCTGACTTCAAAATGGTGTTATTTGTAGCATATTTATGTCTCTCAATAAACCATGACTGAAAATCAGTTTGATGTGAATGTAGCTTTTAAGAAGCATAGGGAAAGAACAAACAGCCAGTGCTACTGTATATGATATTAAACTATCAAGGAAAATCTAGGGACCTTAGAATTAAATCTATATCAATCTGGGTAACCTGAAGCTTACAAGGTCGCTATAAATATAATGTTTTGAAGGAGTAGAATTCACATACAGTATATCCAAGATAAATGTGTTCGCCAAAAGCAGCGTAAACCGCAAGAAATTATGTTTCTTGATTAGCCGAGGTGGCGCAGTGGTTAAATGCAGCACTGCAGGCTACTGCTAGATCAGCAGTTCAGCGGTTCAAATCTCACCGGCTCAGGGTTGA